TTCAAATAACTACGCTGTAAGTATACGTTTTCCACTTTTCAACCAGAGACTAAACGCGCGCTAATCCTCTCAAAATGCAAATTAACGTGAATGTCCTGCAGGAATACTTTTGTCAAACTTAAAAGCCTGAGTTTACAGAAAGCTTTTAAGCATCTGCCGAAAATTATTCATAGTCGCAACTCATACCATCTAGGTCAATTTGCAGGTTAACTAAGTCGGTAAAATGCAGTCATCACAACTTCAATGGCACATTGATGTCTAAAGTTGGAAAATGCGTATTTATGATCACAAAGTTGCGAGTTTATTCTGCGCATGTTTTATTTTTGAAAAGGGAAACAACCAAAACTTTATTTTAATTTTTTTTTCATTTACTCGATAATATAATCGAGAACTTTAAAAAGATATTTTAGTTGATTTTTTTTTTGAAAAATTAAATCGCAATCAGAGTTTTTTAAACGCTGCGATGGACGGATACCTATTTAAAATTTGTTTTATGCTCGTAAAAGAGAGGTAATTTTGTCAAAATTTTCTACAAAGTAGAGAAAGCCTGAGAAAGTAAGTTTAGACCATATTCAAACGTAAAAAATTGGGTAAAAGTAAGAAAAATTTGCCAGCAAACCTTACGTTTTCCCGTTATTTTGAAACTCTTGAATAGCTCCAGTAGTCATCCTGCACTTTATCGACAGCGCCGAAATTTTGCACCAGATGCGTCTCCTCAAAAGTATGTTCAACGTTCATGCCCAAAATATTCGATACGACAGAATATTTATCATAGAAAAACTTAAGAAGTCGGAATGTTTCCAGGTAAAATTTAAGGAAAGCCACCCATAGTGAGGTTTTTGTGAAGCATGCAACTCATGTGAAATCTTCTCGTAAACAAAAGAGCCGATTTCTCTTAAAAAAATTGAATACATTTTAAAGTGTTGTGTCTCTTTGACCACGGAGGAGGTGCTGATGCATCTCTTTGACTCATTTCTAAACTATTTTGTGCGTCAATTGACGTTCTACCGTCGCAATTCCGTTGTTTTATCAAGGTGGAAAATTTCTCACGACGCAGTACAGCGCCGGCGCCTCCTTCGGTGCGACGCAGCAAAGTCGCGTATATGAACGGTCTGGCGGCAAGTGGAGACTCAAGCGTGGGTGAACACGAGCTGGCGCGAGGACTAGCACTGCCTCGCTAAAGAAAAACGCCGTATGAACAATGAAAGGTTGCCAAATGTCTTCTGACACATTTTTTTTTTCGTAAGAAATTATGAGTCTTTCTCTAAGCGATTTCCAGACACACAAGGTATAATCACTGTGAATAGAATTCAATGAAAACTTGAAAGGAGAAACCACATAACTATCGAGAAAATTTCAGTTTTTATCAGCAGAAAAGCAACGTGCGATTGATCTTAAGGTGTTCTTCCCTAGCAACATGCAGCCGTTTTGGCAACGGCTTAGTTGTCACGTCCGACATGAAGAATTCCTCTGTCTTGTTGCACAAGAAAACGTCGAGCGGTTAAACACAGTATGACCTGCCGCCGTAGTGTCCGTCATCTGTTGATCGCAACATTTCACCGGAGAGTTGGACGAAAACTGGAGCTCAGAATTTTCCGACCTGTCAGTTTTCGTTTGTCAACCATCTTTTTAAACCCTCCAATTACCCATCGATTATTGAGTTTCTTTGAAAGCTCCGCAGAGAAATTTTAATAACGCGGTGCATAATGTCATTTTCACCCAATGAACCTACTCCGTGGTGTCTCCAATCGCTGGTTCACCCTTCGGCAGTGGCAAGGAATGTTTACAGGGCTGAAGCACCCTTTCACTTGGCTCTGTCCATCAACTCCAACGATCAGCCCGCAGCAGCCTGATCGTTGAAAATGTCGAAGATTCGAAAATCGATATATTACACGGCGCACATAGGGTCATGTCCTCTCTTGTCTTGCCGACATAGCCAGTTAAAGTTTCAACGATCAGGCTGCAGTACCCGAGATTTCTGAACCCTGCTCCTGCGGGATCTTCACCCGCTATCACCCACCCTCTGCATTTCCTCCATGGCGGATCCTGATCTGGCATCCATGCAGGGCGGTGCATTACCGTGCAGCTCCGAGTCTTGTTTTACGAGAAACGGAAACGCGAGTTTCTCCGCTGAGTCACCGAGCGGCCCGCCGCACAGTGGATCCAGTCAATCAGAAAGGTCGGACATGAAATTTTCGACTAAAACTGTAAATTTTGATGTTTATTTCGTCACATTTTGAACTTCAAGGGGTGCCTCTGAAAGCAAATTTCACGAGGACACCAATGAAACCACTTTTAGGACCTCAAATCCTCTCTATTCTAATAAAATCATTTTTAAGACGCTCGATGGACGGGGTGAGGAACGCGAGTAAGACGGTCAATGGGCAGGAGTGAGGAAGGGGAGAGTTCAATGGTCAGAGTTCAGAGGCGGATCCAGCAATTTGGCAACACCGGATTTGCTCCATTTAAACGTATGCTAAATAATCGATTCTTTTCGGAGCACTCGACATCTCCAAGAATCGATAGATTTCCATAGGTTTAAATGGAGAAAAGGCAATGTTGCCAATTTGCTGGATCCGCCAATGTCAGAGTTTCAATGGAGTGGGTTTTTACTTTCAGAGGCCTTTGTTTAGTCGTGGACAGCTACATGTGGCCCTGTCAAGGTCGACCTCCAAAAAAGGAATCAAAATTCAGAGTAAGCAGAAAGTCACTAAGAATATTATGTAGTTGCATATTGCACAGTTTTTGAAATTTTATCGGCACAATACACAAATTATTCGATAAACTTGAAACTTTTTGGAAAAACCGATTAATATTTATCGGTTTTTCCAAAAAGTTTTAAGTTTATCTAATAGTCGGCCTCCTATGGTGTAGTGGTTGTAGCGCTGGCTCTATAATCGGGAGGTCCCGGGTTCGATTCCCGGCCAGGCGACCCGAGTTTGATGGTCTCAAACAATGGTTGCCTGGGGCTGGTTCAGTAGGGACGGAGGGGGGATGGGACTTAAAGCGTGGGATTAGCCCTTGTGGGCTATTTGAAGTAGTAAAAAAAAAAAAAAAAAAAAAAAAAAAAATTTTTGGATTGGTATCAAAAAAAAAAAAAAAAAAAAAAAAAATAACTAAGAATATTGTTTGGCGGGAAATTTTTCTTTTAAACATCGTTTTTATTAAATTAAAATGATTTCCTCATTAACCATACCAACGGGCAAATTCGACGATTTCGCTGGTCTTGAAGTGGTCTTTGGGGGCGCGCAGGGCCCCGGGGATTTGGCCGCGTAGCGGCCAGGGGGCAGACCCCCTAGTTTTGCATAAACGGAGTTATAAGCGTTTAAAGTTTCCGAATTTTGTCCGACCTCTCCTATTGACTCGATCCAGTGTGCGCCGCGCCGCGCCGCCACCGGTCGCACCGTGTGGTCTCCTCCGCGGATGGACCAGACTCGGCGTCGGCGTCGGAGTCGGTCGTGGTTGCGGTCCCCGCCGTCATCGTCATCGTCATCGTCATCGTCATCGTCATCGGCATTTCGCGTCCGGTCGCGGGCGTCAGCGTCCGGCCCCTGCCCCCCTGCCCCCGCCCCCGACCCCACGGTGTGAATGGTTTAATCACGGCTCTAAAACGCCGCTGATGGCCACCGGGACTTTGCCCAAGGTTTGACTCAGTCCCGTGAATAACGAGCTTCGACTCATGCGTTTTTTTTAGGAATGAAGAGCGAAGAGGCCTTATGAAATTAAGAGCCGCCGAGGCGTGTATCCGCATAAAACAACTCGAGGACCTACATATGTATAGGGAGAGTACGGACAGCTCGGAAATTTGGAGTTTAGGTTTGATCAGGTCATGTAGCACTTAGGGCCCAAAAAGGTAGCCAACCTATGAATTCGAATTATCCAGTGGTACTAATTCAAACCCCGAGAGTAGGTACACTGATCAAAAATTATAAAAGAACGAATAAAATTTTGCTTTCGCATACGTTTTCTTAGTTTCAAAATCTTAAACCTTAAAAACGCTTGTTTAGAATGCGCTGTCGGCCCTATTGATTAATCTTTCAAATGCATAGGTTGGCAGCGGCACTTTTCTAGTGATTTTCGTTTTTCACGTTGTCGCCCTTCTGGGCCCTAAGAGCTACACAAATTGAGTTGTTCATTCTCTCCCTATAAAGGTACTTTAAGAAAAACTAATGGCACGTCGTGCTTATACATTGTCTCTAAAATGAACCAGAGGTTTCTTTTCCATAGTGAACTCTTATTGATCGTGTCGAAACATGTTCAACGCTAAAAAAATTACACCTTTACATCATTGACGGATCCAGTAAGTTGGCTATAAGAATTGTCTTTCCTCCGTTTTAACCTATGGAAATTCATCGATTCTTGGAGGAAGTAGGTGCTCCTACAAGAATCGATTATTTAGCATAGGTTTAAATGGAGGGAAGCCATGTGTTGCCGAATTGCTGGATCCGTCTCTGCCTGCAAACGGAATGAACCAAAAACAGCCGCATTTTTTGGTGAATGGAAGATGCTTTTGAAGAATGTTTTTCAGTTCCCAAAAAGAGCCATCTTTTTCATCATCATCGGTCACGCATTTTTCCTTACAACTAGAATTGCATCCATCGTTACAATGTGAAATGATACGGAATAAACCAACAACAATGCAGGAAAATGATGCGAGTGATCCTGAAAACAATAAGTATTTTCCCGCTTTAAAATAGAATTTTCAATATTTCCGAGTCGGACATTATTCTAAACAAGGAGTTTTCCGATTACCCCTTGCGTGCACGCAAATCTCAGTTCTATTAAGGCCAGTATACTCTTCGCCAGTAACTTCTACTTAACGCATAAGCGCTAAAGATTTATGGACTCTCTGATATCTTAATTTTTAACGAGTTTTCATCGACTCACCGCTCGTTCCTCGGAGTCTTGGAAGTTTGTGATCCCCTTCAAACTTTCCCGCTTTAATCGGAAAATTGTTTAAGGCTCCGGAAGTTCTAATTTGAGTTGTGTTTTTGTTTCAGCGGTGAGAGTAAACCAGAAAAATTCCTCGCAAACTGGCATCTTTCGATGGGAACAAGCTCCCGGACATCCCGGCCCCCGTCCGATGGATTATCAGACGAACCCAACCTCCCGGTAAGTTTCCCCTTGTTCTCTGCTTTTTACCCCCTTCCTCTCAGTCCCCTTCTGCCCTCCCCCCCTTACTCACACTGTTCTCTATCTTAGCACACTCTATCTTTTCATGTCGACAGTGAAACTGCAAAAATGCGTATTGCGGTTGAAGTGTTTCGAAATCACCACTACTATTTTATTTTTGATAAGGAGACCGAAACAATATCTTGGCTTAAGTTTTCACAGAATATTTTTCATGAAGAGAAGAAAACTCTCTGAAAGTTTCAAAAAGTGACGTTCAGTAGTTTTCTATGTAGGAAATGAAGTATGACAGGAAGTCTGCAACGCCGCAAACCGATGTACGCATTTACTCAGTTTCACCATCGATAACCTCTTGTGTATTCTATTCCCTCTGCGCAAACATTATCCTCAAAGATACAAATCCATTTTCCCCACTGTCCCTCTTTCCAAATCCATGCTCTGTTTCTCCAGGTATTTTCTTCTCCGTCCTTTTCTTTTCACGGGAGCTTGAACATTTTAGAAATATTTCGTGGTGCTGCAAATTGCGGAAACTGATATTTTGCAGTTTATGGCTTATGTGGTCGACGCCCAACACGGCAAACGTCTTAGATGGGAAAACTAGACATCTTGTGCTACATTGTTGATGAGGGTGTGTGAATTATGAGGTCTGGTGTACCTTATCTCGCTGTGTCAGGCACCTTACCGTTGGTTTGCCATTTGGGCGCCAGGTATATCGCTGTCCAGTTACGCCTTTTTCTACACTTTCCTTGTCCTTTTCATTCCGCACGCTCTTCTGACTTGAAGAAACAGCTTAGTGCAAATTTCGCTTCATTCATTTTGATAGTGCACTTTTCCCGACCTATCAAGCCTCCTTCTGTAACTATTTAACCTGAGGGTGTTTTTTCCTCTTTGTTTTTGTATATAAAGTCATTAATTGTTATTGCAGAGATAATATTTCCCATGGTTGGTTCGCACCGCATAAGCTTAGCGCCTGGCCCTTAGAACGTGGCGTATCGCCGTTAAACCGAGCCGCCCTCTAAAATCGCGGCGAATCGATATCAAAACAGTTCATTTGTTCTGGGTGGAACCATCAAATATATTACGAGTATATCGGATGTCGTATTCGCTAAATCAGTCCATTCATCATAGCATACAGGAGACCCGCTGTAGTTTTCTGATTGCCGTCGTAATCATTTCACAAGGCCACCGTCAGCGCCGCCCTATACCCTCCTCCCTCCTTCACCTTGTATTTTATCGCTCTTAATTCCTAAGGGGTCATATAACCACTGTGGTGGCATCTTCATACCAGGTGGTAAGATTCCATTGGCATGGTTTCCTATTTCTGTCGCGACAGCCACAGCTATATCGGAGCACGCAAGCGCCACGCAGCATCGGTTTGCACCACGTTCGGCGTTTATCGCCTAAAATTACGGCCAGACGCTTAGCTTGCTCTAGTTTAAGATTCCCCACCACCGAATACATCCATGTGAACCTTGAAGACTTTTGACCAGTAGCCCATACGTCATTGGGTAGATTGTTGAACCATTGTAGAATGATATTGATCCATAGATAGCCTTGCCAAGATATCAAGGTCGTTCGATTACCATTGATCCGGTATCTGGCGCCTGGAAAAAGCTCCATTCTAATTGGGACTGCAGAGGGAAAGTATGGACATGTCGATAATTTCGGAGATTAGGTCATGGATTTCTTAGGGCCCAAAAGGGCAGCCAACCCATGAATTTTAACTCCATGAATGATTTACTAGCATGCACAATTGGACTGCGTTAAGAAGAAGGGATCCAAACCACAGCGCTAGTTAGGGTAGAATTTCAGTTTAGTATGGAGAACCTGGAAAAATTAGGAAAACTGTTTTCCAATATTCGCTGGGATATCCAAATCCTTGGGCATGTAAAATTTATTTAGAGACACCTACGTTTCGCGGCGAAGATATGAAGAGCCTCCCTCCCTGTATACAAGAAAATAATTTAAAATTTAAATAAGAATTCAGTCATTGCCTTAAAAATGTTGCCTTCGGTCGTGAAGTTGACTCATCAACTGTTCTAAAAAAAAGAGAAGAAAAAAGAGTGCTATCGGCGGTATCATACGCATTAAGAAAAAACCTAAATTGGACTAAACTTTTTCAATTAATTCATTTGATTTTCTCTTCAATTTTCTGAGAAATCCTCCTCATAGATTGATTTGATAGGATCACCAAAGGAAAATCAAAGTAACTCAAAGGCACTTTTAAGGCTACAGCGCAGTTCGACTCGAGAAATAAGTAGTTAATTGCAACAGCTTCGGTTAGAAGTTAAAATCCCCCCTCGTCATTCCGAGAGACTAGGATAGAAAGTTTTCTCGTTCTGAGGTCCGCACAAAGTTGCTGTTGACCTTTTAATGGGCCAATAAAATTAGACAACGCCTTTCACTTAATGGCGAATAATAATTCAGAGTGATAAACCCCTCGCCGACGGTGGTGCTTTACCCTCGGATGACCGTGTAGTGCAAGTCCGTCGGTTAATTGTAGAGATTTTCTGGGCGGTTAATCCATTAACGTTTTAATTTTCCCCACTGTTAATTGCTTCTCTATCGTCATCAGTTTTCCCGCTGTTCCCCCGTCATCTCTAGCAGAAGACGAGTTTTTTTGTTCGTTTTCAGCCGCATAAAGTGTCCCCCTTTCAGTAAAAATAATTGCTCTTGGCATCTCCTTTTACTAGCTTTATTGTGTTCTCGACTTTAATTTCATCTGTCGCTCTTCCTCTGAATTCACGACTTTTTCCTTTTGAAAGTGCTGATACATAGAAAGCGCGTTGAAAGGTTAAAAGAGAAGCTTATCATAGTATGAAAATGGGCACGAACATCCTATTTTTTAAATGAAAATATTTGATTCTAATTTTTGAACGACAGCGCTTGCAGAATTCATTATTCATATTGTTGGTTTTAAGTTGAAGGTGTTTTGAAAAATCAATTAGGTTTATATTCGCCTTCTCAGTCCATTTTTCACACCTCTGATTTAAGCGGTTTGTTCGACATTCCGCACATGCCTTGAGGCCTCAATGGACATGTTAAGGCCGAAGTTGATTTCAACTTCCCGTTGAATTGTGTGAGACGTCCCTTACTACGTCTAATATTGTCGAACACTTTGCAGTTGCTTAAATTAGAGTAGATTTAATGAACAGGGGTACCGACTTTTCTATGATTATTTCAGCAATCAGATAGTTTAAATAGTTTCAAGTTTCAGGTAAAACGAGCTCCTAAGTGGTCGAATCAAGTCACTACCACTCGGAAAACTTTTCGGAAACATCTTTTTCCGAACGCGATGAGGTGACGTGAGCTCATTTTTAGTTTTCCTTCAGTTTCCAGTGTAGGCAACACCAGCTCCTAGGTGGTCGAATAGTGGTATGACCTCCTTAAACAAGTTACCACTATTCGGAAAACATTTTGGGAACCTCCTTTCCGGAACGCGGTGAGGTGACGTGAACTCATTTTTAGTTTCCTTTAGTTTTCAGTGTAGGCAACACGAGCTCCCAGGTGGTCGAATAGTGGTATCTTGTACAACGTGTCATCAGCATTCACTTTGGTTCTCGAGAATGGTTTAAGTTCTTCAATTATTTTTTCGGTCATACCAATATTTTGACATATAGATAAATGTACACTATGGCAGCCTTTTCCTGTCCTATTTAATAGTTTAACATGTAGCACTTTTTTTTTTTTTTTTTGGTCAAGGGGATCTTTTATCGTGTTTCCTCATGGAATCCATGGTTCGTGGAGATCGAGATTCCTTTTCACCGGAAGTGTTCTAGGCATCCTGTCTTTCGAATTCATAAATCATGCATCTCCCGCTAAATTTTTCAATTACTTCCACAAAATGATGTCTCTTCCTTTTTTGATTTTCATAAAGTAATCGCTCAGCTCGGTTTCGCCTCCTCAGAGGCGTGCAGGGGGGATGCACGTATGGGAGATACATCATGGATAGATGTATATTTCATCAAAAGTTAAAATTGTGCAAGGCGATCCTCCCAAAATTTTCTGTCAGAAGATCAAAAGCCGTTACCATTTTCAAGCACAAAAAGACAACAACGTTCGGCGAAAATCTCATGTCTGCTCATGCAACTAGTGTCAATATGTAATAAAAGACACGCGTTGTTAGGCTGCCTCTTCGATGGATCTCCAACGCCCCAAACTGAAGTCCTGAATTGACCGCACTTTTGCTCGACTTGCATATTTACCTCACTTCAAAGCTTTCATCTCTCTTTACTCTCAGCGAAACTTGTCTGCTGTGTCCGTATCGCCGAGACTCCCCGTAGCTATTTCTCGCTGAATGGGGGGGAGGGAGGGGGAGGGGTCTTTGTAGGCTCGGAAACAGCGAAAAGCAGCGTAACGTATCTCCTTCTCAGAACTTTTCTCTCGTATTTTATTCAACACTGGGGAAAAAAAAAAAAAAAACACATTGGATCTAGAGTCCAGACTCTTGAAAACATTGACAAGAAAAAATACTCTTGATTCAATCAGATTTTTGCTTGAATCAAAAGGAAATCCGCTCAAATTAAGAGGCTTGGTTCTTGATTTAAGCACAAATCCGATTGAATCAAGAGTATTTTTTCTTGTCGATGTTTTTAAAAGTCCGGACTCTAGATCCAATGTGTTTTTTTTCCAGTGAAGCGTTTTTCCGTTTTTGTTTTTATTCCTCAGAAGAAAACTAATATTTCGAATGAATTCTCTCTCAAAATCGGCTCAGAAAATCACATGAGATTCTCCGAAATAATAACGATTAGACCCTTTTTTACTAAATTATACGTGCTATAAAGTTCATCAAAGAACAATGCAGATTATTTTTCGTTTTAAAGCGAAAATTGCGCCCGGGAACGAGCTAGAAAAGGATTCATCAAAGGCGTAGGTGAAGGAGGCGTAACCTTAACTGAACCATTTGTTTTTTGTAGGAAACGTGAACTGCCTTCAATTTAGAGAGTATGCAATCCGCAGCGGGCCCCACGTGCCCGCCAGCC